AGAGTGCTTTTAATACTGTTGTCAGAATGCCAGAGGTGAAGATAGATAGGTGCTGAGATAAGCTGTCTAACAAGAGTATTTGTCATGTGTGGGCGTGTTATGCAGGTGGGTGTGGGAGATCTATACACACACATACAAACACCTATAAATGTGGTTAAATTTAAAGCTACCCAGCAAAGTCACAGCTTTACATGTCCACCTGTGCTAAGCAGCCGCTGCCTGGAAACGGGTCAGCTCATGTGCTGGCAGTGTCTGGCCCCATTACCCAGGCTACTCTGGGGGAAGCCCTGCTGTGGTTAGAAGGATGACTGATAGGCCTGCTCCAGCCAGCGCTCCCTTATGACCTCACTGTGTGTCCTTCTGTTTGTTTGTCCTCAATCCCAGGGCCTGCGTCTATGGCTTCACCAGACTGATGGTGCTGTTGGGCCGAGCAGCAGATGGAGATTTCTTCCTCACTGATTGCCTGATGTTTGGTGCCATTATATCAGCCACTGACCCAGGTAGATGGCATAATAAAGGACCTCCTACAGTCACTCTCATCACTTTTAGTAGTAGTATTGATTTTTTAAACATTACTGGTTTTATACAGATATAAACCTGTGATTCCTCTTGCAAAATTTTACTCTCCTTTACAAGACTCACATTGCTTTACAACACCAAATATTCTCAGGAATGTTTGGTACTTGCTCACAGTGAATATGTAGCAGACACATCACAGGAATCTGCTTTAGTTAAACTCATACAAATGAGTTAAAGAAAAAGAATCAAAGATGCACGATATGTGAAGACTGTTCAACCAACTGTAGATTTATTTATTTATGCAGTTTCTGGGTTTTCATTTGCCTGTAGATTCATGCACTTACCTGCAATATTAAACAACATGACAAGTTAACTTATGACATAATGTGTTTAGAAAGATCAAACCTGGCTTATGCTGTTTTTCCACTCTCTGTACCTATTTTCTTATTGCACTCATGATACTGTCAGGTGTAGATCTATGTGGGGCGCAGGCTATCCACATGAAGATAACATTTAACATTGTGATGTTACTCCGCTTGGACATCCCTCTCTTTCTTCGTCTACACACCTTTGCACAGTGATGGATATCAGAGATTTATAGCCAAGCCTATGTGCAGCAACAAAGTCAGAACGTCTTCTCAGTTGATGTAACTGCTTTGAAGTCGGTGCACCTTTTTTCTAAGTGGAACCACAATATAATCTGTGTTCTTGAAGAGCAGTCAAGTGGGATGCCATAAGGCATCCTGTGACGCTGCAACAGTGGCAATGTTAATGTCCTCATTTGGTAATGAATTATGTATACCAATAAGTACTTGATCTGGGTGAGTGTCAAAGAGGAGCTGTAAATCATGGTGCAGCTGCCTCTCCGACTGGCGTTATTTTCCCTTGATCATCCCTGCTGACCCCAGCGCCCTCGTTACTTTGATTAGAATCACAATCTAGTGCATCGATGGCCCAAACACCAAGACCCCTAGGCTGTCTCTCCATCTCCTGCTGTCCAAATATAGAGCCGGCTCTCTGATTTTCTGAAAGGGAGCCATTAAAACGTCCCTGTCCATTACTCTCCTTTTTACATTTGCATTCATAGAGGCCAAAACACTCCAGAAACAGGCACATACTTATTCTCACACACATACATAGACAGGCACAGTGACTCTCTCAAATAATTTAGTGCTGAGAAATAAAGCTTTTTGTCCATGTCATAACCCTTGTGTGACAGCTCTTTCGTTTTGTCGGCTGCGACCTTATAGTGGGATCTCTAAAGAACACAGGATGTCAATCAAGCGTTTGGAGCTGTACAGATGGAAGCCCCAACTTATTGCCACTCCTTGCCCTTGCAATATGGGATACTAACAGAGTGAGCTGGAGCAAGCCAGGTCTCTCAAGTCCAAGCTAGTACCACTGGACGAACATCCTAACACCTAAATTACGTCGGGACAACGGTAGCCAGATTAGCAAGCAAAAGTCCTACGTATGGCCCCGATGTGTCGCCATTGCTAGTATCTGCCGTATTCCCCTACCTCCCAATCTGGATGGTGCTAACATTGAAGATGCCAAAGTTATGTCCTCTCTATAGTTTCTAACATTCTACAATTATAGATAAATTACACATGTTGGCCTTTTTTAAGGCTGATGCTAGTAGTTTTAGAGGCAGTATCTTTAAATATGACTAGTATTTCTCCCCCAGAATTATATTTTTGGCAGTGTGGATTATTCTCTGTATTTATTCCATTTTGTAGGCAGATATTTATTACCTTCACCAAGGAGGTTTGTTTTTAGTGCCGTTTGTTCATCTGTCAGCAGGATTACTGAAAAACTTGGTGGAAGGTTGAAGCGTGGGCCAAAGAAGAACCTATTCAATTTTGGAGCAGATCCGAATCACAGGGCGGATGCACAAATTATTTTTCACTTTTGTTAACATTGCAAGATGAGTCAATTGTAACACCGATGTCTATGGCGAAATTAAGTGAATTCATCGTACATGCACAAGCCTCTCTTAATTAAAGTGAATTGTGTGCCGACTAAACATACAGCAATACCTAACAGCCACCTCAAACACCACTGTAAAAAAAAAAAACAGCTCAACACGTCAGTATTTCTAAAATCCTGGCTATGACCCTGATTTCTTCTCACGTTACAAAGACATGTTACTGATTTGGCTGTTTGAAGACTCTAAATTAATATCATTGTGAGTCTGTTATCCCTATATGAGTGAGGGATAGACTGCAGCTATTTGTAGTGGCACCAGCAGATCTAAAGGTAGATACAGTTGTAAACAGCATCTCTATGTTTACATTGCTTTTGTACTTACTAGAGCTTTATATTCTCTTGTGATATACAGACAGAAGCTATTTGAGAAATTGAAGATTTTATCAATCAGTATGCTGACTCTAGAGACAACCAATGAGTAAAGTGTTCTAGTCTTTAATATCCCTATTGATACTGATTTGAAAATAGGCAACAAATGTCCCTAGCATGTACTTATTTGTTCCTTTCAGCATTCCACCTATTGATTTTTAAATTGTTGGTTTTATACAAGCCCCTGAGGCGCTGTAGCCAACAAACTTGTTCTTCTCCGACTTAGAATAAGACACATGGTTCAGGTCACAAAGTGGAACGCCTGCTGCGCAGTATCCTCTAGCCTCAGGGATGGTTACTAAAGGTCGATGAAACCCTCACTTAACATCTCAAAGGAAAGACTTTTTTGGAGGCACTGAAGTTTTCCTTTCATCTTTGAGGTTGTACTTATTTATGGATTTCTCTTGAACACTGCACATACATATTTCTCTTTTAGTATGTCAGAGCTGGAAATGATGTCAGAGTTGGAAATATCTTGTTTACATCTCTGACATCTGTGTACATCAGATGTAGCAGTAACTACCCAGATTTAAAGTGAATATTGAAAATACAAGTAGACATGTATATGCACATGACTCAATATTTTAACTATATTATTGCAACATAATTAAGTCTTAACTGTCACAAACTCTGATGGGTGACTTGTACCACCAACTAGAGAAAGACCAGCATGTTAATTCTTTTATATCTTTATTTCTGTAAGGTTCTAATAAAAAAAAAGCATATTTGGATTTCTTTTTCCAACTGCTTTAAAAAGGTCATTATAATTAATGGAGATTTTAAAGGGACCTTATCCTGACATATCAAGGAACTACTGTGAGATACAGACTAAACAAAAATAAACAGTAAAAAACCCTCTTACTAATAATAAAGTGCCGGTTTGCTTGCTTTCAAACTGTGAGAAAGGTTTTTCTGCTGCAGCCTTGTGACCCCTGTTTGTGCACTTCAACACCTAAAAAATTGAGCACTTTTCACGCAGAGCTGGAGAGATTACAGTAATTCCCTGTTGACCGTTATCTCTTTCCTAATGCATCGCTTTCAGTATTATATCTGCCTAATTTGGTCAAATCAGTGAGCAAATCCCATGCTCTCTGACCGAGATGGCCATGAGCTTTGCCTCCACTAAACCTCTGCAGCAGGGTAATTTGACCTAATAAGGCTTCCATTCGACCCTTTCAACTGTATTATGTCTGAAATAATTGTCTACTCTCTCCACCTTATGGTGTTGCTGTGGAAACTGATGAACACTTGACAGCTGTAGGACTGGGTTGCCATGACAACACAGCCAACCCGCACCCGTGTGTGTGTGCGTGTGTGTGGCGTGGACGCTTTTTTTTTTTTCCCCATCTTGCAGTGTGACTGGTGCACGACATGCTGTCATCAGCCAGGCATTATGGGAGCAGGGAGATGGAACAATCCTGACTCCAGGGCCTACCTCACCCTCTCCAGATAAAAGATTTTCCCCAACCAGGAAGAGCTTTAAACCTGTCAAAGACCAAAGAGCCAAATCTGTCAAAACAAGTCCTGAGGCTGCTCTCTTGCCACTGCTCTTATTGTCAGTCTGGTCATATACTGACTGCGATGCCCTCACTGGCCTGTTATTCACTACAGGGCCAAATGCTGCTATCAGAGTAGACTCATTATTCATATCACAAATTTCCCTGAAACTAATTTATAGGATCCTTTTTGCATCTTGGGCCTCAACAGGTGGAATATGAATCTCCAAGGAGCTGTTATTGTTTTAAATAATATTGTTTGGCCTTCAGAATGGCACCACTCTGAGTTTTGGTTCTCCTGTCCATGTCTATATCGAATGTGTTTTGTGTGTGCGTGTATATGTGTGCATTGTTTTTCTCCATATCTGACATTGTTTTTTTTATATGATAATTTTGTTTTGCTTGTTTGAAATGCCTGGTTTCTCTTCTCAGTAAGGATTGTGTCAGTACATTTGTCCTATCTACAGTATTTAGATACTGTCTATCTATGTACCCATCAATCTATCTAATCTAATAGATTGTAATCTAATCTAATTTCATTTTAATAGGATGTAATCTAATCTACAGTATCAGTAAACATAGAGCCAACAAAGGTACAGTCGATATCTTTCAGGAGATACCTGGGGTGTCACAAAGTGCGGAGCTGACAGCCACGTCACCACCTCGTCCGTGTCAGTATTCTCCTTGTCACTCACTATCAACACTTCCTCGCCCTGCGGAGCTGAGCATGTTGTGTGTGCACACGCTCATTCATATGCTCAGCATCTTCCACTTGATGTTTACTGTTGGTGAACTCACCGTGGAGTTCGGCTCATATTCCTCTCAGCAGATGCAGTGTGTTGAGAGATGCAGCTGTATAAATAAGTGAGTAATAAGTTGTTTGTGTTTTTCACCACAAATATGAATATAATCACAAATTGCTCTTCTGCACATGATGTGGGATGCAAGTTAAACATTGCGTCTTCATTAAGATGAAGAAAAAAGTGTGGAATACCTTATTTATACAGCATATGTTTGCCTTTTACTGATTACTGATTTCAAACTGCAACCACTGTCAACATTCAACATTAAGTTATATTTCAGTTATTACAAATTTCATATATGGCCCCAAAGAATGCAAGCTAACTCTTTCATCAACTTAAGTTTCTGCCATTGTCTGTGCTATGAGCCTTTTACTACTAATCCAACACTGAAGGCAAATTAAATGTTATTATGAGAGAATGAGCAAGTAAGGCACAAAAGATGCAGATAAAGTGCAGAATTAAGGGTTTAATTTTCCCAGGTTTCACTGGCAGCCGTTTGAAATTTGATATTTTAAAAAAAAAGTAAAAGAAAAATGGGTTTAAACCAGGATTTTTCTCTTAGTGATCTGTAACCTCATATTTGTTCTTCCTCGCGGCACCAAAAAAAGGAAACAAAAAACATGGAACATCTTATACTGCAAAATCAAAGCCAATTGGACTTTCTGTTACATAGTCTCACAATGCTTTGCCTCTAATCTAAGAGGTTTCATCAGCTCAACTGATTGGTTGGGGTTTACCCGCATTTAGCCGTTGTAGCTGACTCACGCCTTGACATCCTGTAACAGTTGAATCTACAGAGGTTACAAATGCTGAGAACTCCCTTTCAAATGCTTAGCAGCTCACCCCTGATCTTAGCAGGCATCTTTGTCTCAACCCTGTATAGTAGTTTGGCATACATGTAAAAAAAACAGTAAAAAGCAATGTTTAGTGTTATTTCTCATCAACAGTTTGTGTTTCTTATCATGGTTTACAGTCATAAATAAAAGGATTGATTTAAAATCAAAATGTTTAGATAACCGTTTTTACAGGCTCATATTTAAATTATTCCCATTACAAGTTTTCATTGTGTCTGTGCTCTGTGTGAGATTTTCTGTAAACCGTGAACAGTACCATTTATGTGTTGCATTCCACTCTGCATAAATATCAAACAAACTGCAGGCACTCTCTGTGTAAAATGTCTACTTAAAGTCAACTGAAATATGTCGGGGGGAATTCTTTGTGTTGCTGAGCAGTGAGTGTATCTTACATTATTTAAAGCATGGAGCTCTCTACCTTTAGTTCCCCTATATTAGACTGTAATTGGTTCCTTTTGGATCTTTTAATCAGCTACAGCATCTTAGCTTTAATCTCTCCCTTTTCCCACCAGTGTCCTCTCAAGATTCCCAGAATTCTATAGTCGTTATCTTCCACTATAGCGAAAATCGCAGCAAAACCCCGAAGCTAATGAACACATTCATATGAAAGAGAGAGACCAGCAGCACTACACCCAAAACCTGCATATATATACAAATCATATCAAGAAATTCAGTCATTTGCTTTACTCGAATGATTTGCAATATCTTCCCTTGTAACTGATGCCAGAAAATCACAGAATACCATGTTATGACTACAGGAGGATTTACAAACACAGGAATATACAATCACACACTTAGACCTTTCCTTGTTTTGTTTTTTTAATGTAATTTAATTTTCCTTAATTGTGTCTATGCATTTAAACTTTAGACCTATACTGTCACATTATTTGTTCATTTGATTTGTGCTGATTAGCACAGCATTTCTTTCTTTTCTGTTTCCTCTCTAGACACAAATATTGTCTTTTCCAAAGCATTGTGTATTTTGTTCAGCTGAACAATGCTTGGTTTAGTTACTCTGGCTACTTCAAGTGTAAAAAATCCTCTTTCCAGTGCTGTCAGTGTGCTGACATTTTGTGTCAGCTTTTTATAGTTACACTGTAACCTTAATTCCCCTGTTTTTTTTGTTTGTAGCAGCAGAGGTGATACTCCTCACCACTTTTTCTGTGTGATTAGCAGAGGAGTTATTGCCCTATTGCACTTCCTGCAGTCTTCAGTAGCGGTAACTCTTGTTTTTGTGTTTTTGTAGTTTCAGTCCTTGGCCTCTTGTCAGACCTCCGTGTGGATGTGGACCTGCACACCCTGCTGTTTGGCGAGAGTGTCCTGAATGATGCCGTGGCCATCGTTCTGACACAGTGAGTGTCTCACTTTAAGATTTGTGTCTGCCCTCAGAATGCAGTATATTTCTAGGTTTAATTGTGTGGGAGATCAGTCTTTTTCAATTGGCATTATGGGGGTGGATGTGTGGGGGAGGGAAGGCTGGTAGATGCTGCCAGCTTTAAGGAAAGGGGTGTGATTGGCAAAACCGCATGAGCGCCTCAGATGCTATGCAGTGGACTGCGTAAGCGAGTTGCCCCTGGCACTGTCAGCATCTCATTAAGGTACACAGTGGAGAGACTCACTGCCAGGGTAGAGACACACTCCCAGCTAACGAACTCAGCTAACACAGCTACTGTCAAATTCAGACAGGAAACAGCATTAAATCCTTGGAAGCTGAGTGAAATAGCCACGATGTAGTCATGCCTTGTCCGTGCATTTCAATTGCTTCATTCATTTCCCCTCGAGTTTTCCCCTTTTCTCCAGCACTGCACTCAAATATGCATGTTTGTCCTGCTCACACACACATTTCAGTCATTGTCTGCTCTATTTACGCGTTGCTAGTGAGCAAAGCCGTTCAAGTAGACGTGTTAACAGATGGCAGGATGGGGAGCTGGGAGACAACTCACACAGGTCCACATTCATGGCCAGGCAATCAGGTGAAAAATGGAAGTGGAAAGAAGGTGACAGGGATAAGATATGTGTCCATATTTGCATATTGTATTCACACAGACTGACACAAAACATGTACAGTACCTGCTCACTCTGACTTCTCTTCCTCCGATCGCACAAATGGGCCCAGACAGGCAGGCAGATGGAGAGAAAAGGAGGCGAGTGTGCAGATTGTTGTGTTCATGCCATGGCTGCTGTCTCTGTATACATTGAAGTGCAGGGGAGGGAGCCTGCAATGTCTTCCCAGACAAACAGTCAGATAGTGCTGTGTTTGTTCCTGGAGTGGCGTGACCGGCCTTCATGCCATCTCCTGTCACTTGACTGGCTCGCTAGCCTGCCGGTCGCCCTGGCTCCACATACAAAGCCGGCCCTTATTAGTGAGCCATGCGGGGTCCTGGCACTGGAATTTTAACAAGCTCCCAGAGCAGCTCAACCTTACGCTGATGTGCCCTCTCACAGGCACTAAGCTTCCTGCTCCAGCAGTCCTGACCCAGCCACTATTCAACCAGGTCCTGTGTTGACATCTTGAGATTTTTGACTGGGAGTGAACAACCCGAGATGCCTGAGAGTACAGTCTCTAGTCTAGAGGGTCACACTGACCAAGTTACTTAGTGGCCAAATTTAATGTGCCTGCACAATTGGAGTCCTTATTTTCATGAAGGGGATAATAGATTTTCCCTTTTCAGCTTGCTGAGCTCATTAGCGACAACATGATTGATTCTTCCCCTTTTGCTGTGGAGATTAAGGCATGTTCTGGTGTGCGCTAGCTCATTTCAACCTGACAGCATGAAAGGTGGAGATACATTACGGGTTCATTTGTCAGACATTTTCTTCGACACTGTAAGGATCTTCAACAAACCATTTTCTTGGTAGCTGGAGTGTAAAGTAGGTTTGAGGTTTGTGTGAGTTGCACCCTGGCTATCAGAAGGTGTGTCTCATAAAATGTAGGAAACAAAAACAACAGCCACCGCTTTGTTTTCCGCTGACTCAATGGTTTGACATCATTTAAAACTGTTAAAGTCTAAGGGGGATACACGGGGAGGGTCTGTGTTGGGTAAAGAAATGTTGTCATTCCACAAAGGCAGCTAGCTCCATCAGCCACTCGCATGGGTGCCTGTCTCTGCTTGCTTCACCTCAGGCCCTCTCTCTCTCTCTCTCTCTCTATCTCCCTCCCACTCCTCCCTGTAAGGCCTCTTTTGCACTCAGTGACTTCCATGTGGAAGTCTTTCCCTTCCCCCCCACAAAGTAAATATTTATTGCGGTGTGAATAGCACGATGCTGCTGTCTTTGTGAACTACAATAGTATTTCCTTGTTCCCCACTAACTACTAGGGGACGTCTCAGAGGCAAATATTTCAGAAAGGATTGTTTTTCAGGGAAGGATTTAACTTCTAAAGAAGAAGGCCATGTATTCTTCGGAATGACTCCAATAAATTGCACTTAAAGGCTTAGCTCAGCATAATAAGCATGTGAATTTATGCTCACTGCTCCAGACCTGTTTACACCAACAACCTAGTGGGCCGTATTTCTGACAGCTGCACTTGTTTCAGAGCCATAAACCATGTTGTTGCTTTACTGTTTCAGCATCTGAAAAAACACTCATATTTACTCCTGTTGTAATTGTGCTATTGGCTTTTTTTTTTTTGTTTGTCTTTTTTTTCATGTGTATAACCTGTTTTTTTTACTATGTTCTGTCAATTTGTTTTCCAGTGCCATCACCACCTATAACCAGATGGGTGCTGGACACAGCTTTGACCCCCTTGCATTCTTCCTCTCCGTCGGTCATTTTCTTGGAGTGCTTGTCGGCTCCTTCCTCCTGGGTTTCATAGTCACAGTCATAACAGCCCTCATATCCTTTCATCCCCTCCCATCTCTGCCTCTGCAACCCAAACTCAATTATCACCTCAGCATCCGCTGCAATCTATCCACTTCCTCAACTTGGTAATTGCTTCTCTAACAAACCCCCTACTGTACAACCATTATCAACAATAGCAACGTGGCTATTTAGGTCTAAAGTCTAAAGCGCTCCTGCGACATTAATGGTTGCAGAGGAGTCGTCAATCAAGCCAATAGCCTCTGATGAAGTTTCGACTTGTGCTGTTGTCCAGCGTTTCTCTCTGATCTTCTAGTAATAAGACTTTAGGATGAAAAATGAGAATGTGTCATGAGAGGTTTGGGGCACAGCTCAGCTCTTATTTACAGTGACTAATCTCTTGGTGCAAGCAAAGCAGTAAGTGAGCATTTATTAGATTTTGCTGATGCTAACCATGGCACCAGCCTGCTCTTTTGTGCTGTCTCTTCAAACAGTAGTTTCTTAAAGAGGTTCACTTTGACAAACAGTAGCTCAGTTATCTTTTAATTAATTGCTGTACCTGTCTGTGTTAATTACAGAAACAATCAAATTTGGGATGGTGTTTTTATTTTTGTAAGCCAAAGGAGGATTAAGGGGGGTCAGTAGTGCAGAGCAGTAAACTGTAAACAATTAGCAGTCCTAAAGTTTTTTGATATACAATATCTAAACCTACTCATCTTCACTTACTGTGAGACTATCCCAAAACACAAACCTTCAACCTGTGTTCTTTCTGTGTAACACTGTGTAAAGACTCTCTGGTTTACAAGGAAGTTTTGCCAGAGGGGATGTGGGACAGTGGAGAAACGGGAGTGGGATGTGGACTTTGTTATCTGTTACCGATCTTGCAGAAAAGATCTCATTAAGACCCAGTGGTTTACTGTACATGGCAAATCCTGTGGCTTTGTGAGCACCTTCTGCAGTTGTGCAACAGTTTTTTGTTTGCAGACACTGCAGTATTTCGTCACACTGACGAGTGCATGTAGTCTGCCACAACAGTCATAAATTGTATTTGTGTTAAATACTGTATGATTATCTTCGTGTACATCTTTAACTCTCTTTCCACCTCACCAAATTCACTCGGCTGTGTGAGAATCCACTGCTGGAAACATCAGTCTTCTTCTTGCTGTCTTGGAGCAGCTTCCTCTTAGCTGAGGCTGTTGGACTTTCAGGTGAGCACTGTATGGCTTATATGTTGTTATATATGTGTGTGTGTGTGTGTGTGTGTGTGTGTTTGCATGCGTGTGTGTGTGTGTGGTCCTGCTGGTGCTCTTGGTGTCAGGGAGGTCAGACAGAATACAAATCCTGTTAGTGAACTGTTGCCCTTTTCCCCTCAGGCGTCCCCTTTCCAACTGCATGCACTCACTCGCTCACTACTGCACAGTATCAGTGGCACGAGCAGCTGTTTTATTGGCAAGCTCTGCTGCTTCGAGGCATCTCTGTGACCACTGGCACCCCACAAACCTGGGAATGAAGTGTGCACATTCTTCATTGTCCGGACATGACCATCTGCACAATTTCCTGCTCAAGAACAAATGCAATTTCCTTCTCATTCAACACACACCAGTATTATAAGAAGGCCTTTCCATTACATGCACACACATACCTTACCCTCTGAGAGTCCTTGGCATTGTAGTGTGTCAATAACGTACAGATGAGAAAGTATTAAGCCTTCTCCTCTCTACAGGGAACAACAGGTACCAATCCCGTTCTGGGCTCAACCTCCATAACTCCTTTTAAAATGGTGTCCGCCCTCCTCTGTCTGAGCATGTTCGTGCCTTTAGTGTGGAGATGGCAGTACAGATAATGGCATTCTTGCCCTAGCTTTATGCATAGATTTCCTGAAAGTTATGAAGTGCTCAGGTCTCATGTAAAAATGGATATAACATGACCAGCCTCACCATTCTTGCCTTTGATTTCTCCATCCATTGTCAAGTGGAGGTTGAATTTTGTTAGATTTTTCAGTTTACTGATTCAAAGTATCTAAAATCTTGGGTAGCTCATGTTTGAAAAACAACAATTACTTGGCTCAGCTGCCTGGAATTGTCTTTATCTATTTCTTAATGTAGTTCTGAAATATGAATGTGGTGTACATATGCCTGTACTTAGGGTTGTTGTTCCTCCTGCCCTGGTTGTGTCAAAGGAATTGCACTCATTCAACTGATGTTGTAGAGTTCTCTTTTACTTGGCAGTAGTCCCTGTGGCCCGTGGAGGAGGAGAAGACAGTTTTAATGAAATAGTGTAACCTTTGTCTATTGGACCCAGATGCCCTGTCTATAAAGTACACCACTCTGAATGCTGTGGGAGGCACACCGCAGCAAAACCAATGATTGTCAATACTATCTGTTGCAGAGCCTCTGGTATTTTTACTGTAGCTACAACTTATACTATGCTACACGTGCTATGTTACCAGTACTAAGGGTAAAAATACTTTCTTTTTACCTCAAACCCGCGGTGTTATAAAACCAATTTTGATTCTGATGATTTGTCACAATAACCTTAAAATAAGTCGTATCACAATCTTCACTATGCTTGGTATAAAATTGGACCCCACAGAACCAATTTGTGGAGTGCCACTCCGTACAAAGGCCTTTAATGGTCCATTTGGGAGAAGTGGCACCTCATACAGAGCGACCCAGTGAGCGATGCGAGTCCTCCCTGGTGTCCTTTGGTAATCGAGATTCTTTCTGTTAATTGCTAGAGTTTAGTGAGGGTCCGCCTAATGACCCTCAGCCTTGCAGGGAGCCCTACTATCATTAATCTTATGCCCCTCAAAACGGCTCATTATGGGATGCATCTCATCTGTTGCCAAGTGCCCTGTGTAGAAGACTCTTTGTATGGACTATGGATGATGTGTTACCTCTGTCAGTGTTGTGTAAACCAAGGAGGTTGCCGTTGCCCTAAACCAAATGGAACCAAAATGAGATCTGCCATGCTGGCATGCTCCATTAGACTTTGTTGAACAGTGCTGGAAAGGACATTGTGAACAGGGAGTACTGAAGCTAGCATAGTGCAGGTACAGGTCAGCATCCTAGTGTGAAGCCGGATGGTGGAGAGAGGGTAATGGACTAGCTTCACTTAGCAGCCTGAACCACAGGTGCTATCTTTTCTTTGCTGCCGTATTTATTACTGCCAGCTCTGTCCTCTGTCCTCTGTCCTATTGCTACCATCACAGTAATTTCACATTTTTCCATCTTCTGTGATTCTCTCTCAAAGTAGTGGGAGCAAAAATGTGAAAATTGAATTTCTGCAACAAAGCAAGCATGTCCTGTGAGGCAGCAACCCACCTTTCATGCTATGCGTTTCAAATTCCAGCTCTCTGCTCCAGCCAGCCTCCTCTTTACCAGCAGGGGTCCTAATCACTCCCTCCACCCTGTTTCCCCTCTCTGGGCTGCCTTTCATTGTCTGCATTTCTTTCCCTTCTGTACTTTTGCTTGTCATTTGTTTGCCTTTTGTTAATTTCTGCTCCTCCGCATTTGGCCCGATCCACAGCAATGATGTAATTCTTTAGCATTTATCAGTCCCAGAGCTTCATGTCTTGGCCAGAAACATGAGGATACTTGAATAGGGTTTTAAAGCACATTTTGATGAAGCTGTTTATTCAGCTGGACTTTCCTGGAACAGGACATTGGGTAGATACTGGGTTGGGCCAGTCTGATCTGGTGTCACATACATTATACTCAAATGCAAAAGTAGCTACACACAGGAGGATTCAGTTGGATTCATTGACTTTTAGAACATTTTTACTTGCATTGTTTTGCTAATGTTTCTCATATTGTAACCATCCTTTCCAGGTTTCATTTGGAAATCATGTTTTTTGAGCTAAACTGGAGGTCATTGCATCTCTGGCTTGTGAGCTTTTGAAAATGCTGGGTTGAACCATGCAGATATAGACTATTTGACTACTTTCAAAAAATCTTTTTTCTATGATGGAAGAGCCTCCTACAGCATATTCTCAACATGAAAAGCTCCACAGTGTGTTAACCAGCACACAAACATACGCATTCCCACAGTCTGATTGCATAATATGTGCATGTATAAGCGATTTTGCATACTTTGTACTAATTAGATGCAGCTCATTGTTTAACTCCCTTCTGTCTACAGAACACTCCTCCATGAGTTTTGCCCACAAAGTGTTGACGCTCACTCATTTTCTACTAACAGATGGATGTTTAACATTTTAACAGTTATTTGGTTATTCCCCATTTTGAATTTTATTTCATTTCACTTACATGTTTCTCTATCTTTTCAGGTATTGTGACGGTGCTGTTTTGTGGCTTAAGCCAGGCAAGGTACACAATTCACAATTTATCCTCTGTGGGCAGGACCAGGACCAAGCAGGTAGGTTTATGGAGGATGATTGAGCCCTTTTCACTGTTGTTTTCAAACAGCATTTGTCAGTCCACTCACTTTGTTCACATTGCCTTTTGATGCCAATGTTTGTGTCTTGCGTGCGTGCGCAAGCAATCATTAATTGCCATTAGTGCTCTGGTTGTCCAGTGGGTGACTGTGTGGGAGGCCAGTCTCCAGCTATCTGCTTAAAAGGCTGAGCACAGATGGAGGCCAGTACACTGTCATACTGTACCGGCAAGCTTCACAGAGGAGCAAATAAATCAGAAATACACACTTATACTCATCTGTGCATTTATTATTCATTATTGGTGCCACAGTGGAGCTAACTGTTTATCACAGAAAAGCCTTTTAAAAGGCAATGCAGCACAGTTGAAGCATTTGCCTATGAAGTGGATTGGCTATGCAGTAGTCGATGCGTATGTATGGTTCAGTAAGTTTACTTGGCAGAATGCCTTTATCTGCATTTTTATGATTTATACTTGCAGCTGCAGCTCAAAGGAAAAGACAAAGTGATTTAGTGTATTCAGACACTAGTTGAATAGCTAGTAGGAGAAATATTTTTCTGTGTGGCATCTTGTCCTTGTGTTGCGAGGCTCTTAAGGCAAAAGGTACGCTTATTCAATTTGATATTTTACCAAGGTTTTAAACTAAAGCTGGTGCAACTGATATAAACAGAAATTAATAAATCATTCATGAAATCATAACATCTGCTCTAATTCAATCCAGATACAACATAAGGATGTTAATAAATATTAAATTTTTTACTCAGAATTGCTCTATTAAAATTATTAAAACATGACTGAGTTGTAATATTCATATACCAGGAAGTATCATGAGAAAGGAACAAGTTATTAGCTGTCTTTTAAAGTCCAGAAAGCTTTTATTCTTAACATGCTTGCTCATACAGCATGTTTCAGATATAATCCAAACAATGAAATTATGACAAAAACATATCTGGTGCTAAATGGAACCACATTATGGCTCGGAGCTGTAGATGTTTGTTGAGGATCAGGGAGTAACATCAACCCTTTGATTTGTTGTGTTTGTACAAATCTAAGCCTGGTTACCCATTTCAGATATGATCCAAGTCCTTTACTTTCACACCGTACACACAAACACACAAACACACAAACACACATATCATCATCCACCCAATATCCCTCCCCATCTCGGGTGACCTTGTCCCTCATGATCCTCTCAATCCCTTTTATAATTTGCAGCTCTTTGAAGTCTTCACCTTCCTTGGGGAGATTTTCATCTTCAGCTACATGGGATATGTATTGTTGTCGTTTCCTCACCATGTCTTCAAAGCCTTCTTCATTTTTGGCGCATTTGTATCCTTTTCTGCTACATGATGGAGCATCTTCACACCCTGCTGTGCAGCCTTTGGATCCCACTCAGACCCCAGAAATTGTGTTCTGTTCTGTTTTGTTCTGTCTATTCCACTTACTGTCATGATTCTTATTTGCACAATCATCTACCACTTATTTGACCAGAGTGGTGTTCATGTTTTCTGTCTTGTCTTTCTGCTGCACTGCAGTGCAGTATCTTCCCGACTTAAAAAAGAAAAGAAAAACAACACCTCAGCACTTAAATTGTACAGGTTTGATCCGGTGAGCTCTGCAAATGCCATTCAGCCAGTCTCCTATGATCACCATCTCTGCAGATTAAGATGCTGCAGTGCAGCGTTAGCTGTGAGGAATGCCTATGAAACAGAAATTTAAATGGGTCTTTAATTATTGTTACTGCTGCTTGTTTTCTGTTCTCTAGCAAAGCTCAGTGGAATAAAGATGTTTGCCTGTTTGAAATAATCTTACAGTACTTTAATTTGTAGTGGATTAAGCACTGTATCCCTGTTGAGGTTGAAGATTAAATCTTATTAGTTCTAGAAACTGTAGTAAAAGAGGTTCCTGCAGTTCGTTATGATATTCCCATCTCATTAAAGGAAAAATCAACTCTAAATACTAATAACACTATTAAATGGCTGTTTGTAAAATACTTTTTCTTGCTCGGAAATGTAAGATGTTGTTTTGTGGTGTATTTATCTCATCATTTATTTACTGGCCAAATGTAGAAAAAGAAAATTAACTGAGAAAGAAATGTAATAATCAGTGCTCAAATGTTCTAATCATTGATCACCGTTTATATCCTTTAGTTAAGGCTCTGGGATTTTGTGATGATGAGCATGTTTTCACTATTTTCTGAGATCTTACAGGCTAAAGGATTTTTTGAATAATCAGACAAAATAGTTGACGGATTAACTGATAGTGAAAGTAATAATTTGTTGCAGCTCTAGTAGACATTTTTAAATTACAATTCAGACAGTTCAAGTTTATCTTCAATGTAGTTTGACAGAAGAAAAAACAGCAATGGTACATGGTACACAGAATCAAAGAGCAAGAGCTTCTCAGTCATAATATTTTGCACCTAGACTCAAAAAACTTGCAGGTAGGAATCAGTTTCTCCTCTGACAGGAGTCTCTGCATGCTGCCACAATACACGTTGTTATCAAAAAGCCACCAGTCCCTTAATGATACTCATCGCATGTTTAAGTTCAACTATCGCAACAGATGTCTCATATCAACAGCTGTTGTTGTATCTGTCGGGTTTACTTCCTGGGGGGAACGGAGGGGTAGTAATGGACTGCTGGCTCCAATTGTCCTTGCCTGAGAGCTGGCATGACCATAGCGTATGCCTGAGGAGAGACTCTAGTGGCCGCACTCCAAGGAGCTGTTCTTTCACAGTCCAGTGCCCAGATGGCCAGCAATTATTATTACAATCCATCTTCCACCATAGGGTCAAAGGAGCCAGAGAAAGAGTCGACTGAGCAGATTTTTTTCCAGTGCTCTTATGTCTAGTGTGAGCGACTGCCAGTGAAAAAATGTTTGACTTGAGCGCTGAGCCTGTTTAGCCTTGTCCTGCACTGTGCTTCCATAACAAAAGCTTATAGAGTGAAAAAAATCTGGCTAACTAAACCAACTGGAAGCTGACCCGGATGTACAAACAGAAACAAATGGAGGTCAAAGTCTACTTGTACAGTGCTAAAAGTGTCTATAAAAATGAAATAACCCCAGTGATTCAACCCTGTTAATCGCTCTTTGGTTACGCAGTAGATTTAAATCGCCATAGCTCGCAGCCTTTGCCAGTGACAATGGAGATGGGCTTTATTGGAAATGAGGCTGAGATGAAAGTGCTTAATTACCTCCTTTCAAATAGCTCAGAGGCCTTTGATAAAGAGAAATGACTGCTTTTGGGACCAGGATATTGCTTTTGAAAATCCATAGGGTGCATGAGATCTAATATTGACTGCAGGGTGAGAGGGGGCTCTGTTTTAGTAATAGCCCTGTCAGACTAAGGTCCCCTGCCTAAGATATTGGCCCCTTATTATTCCAGGAATCATATTTAGACTTACAGTAAAATAGCAAAAATTCCTTCTCCTTATGATGCTAAAGCAGGGGTACCTGCCTGCATATTTATGCACCAGAATTTAAAGAGTAAAAATCTTGCCTGATTTCCTCCAGCCCAGCCTCCTCTGGTTTATAGCCTTGATTTTGGTGCCACTAATAAGAACCTACTGGAGGATCTTAGGCTTCACTCATGCACATACGAGGGTAGGAGGTTATATGGGGCTAGAGTAACTTCTTGTAAAAGTTTGACAAAAGATGTTAAGTGTATCCAGGACGGCAGCTATGTCCCCGATAATTGTACAGATATCCTCTCCCTAACTGCTGCCCAGGACACTTAGCATTCAGTCCCATCCGATGTGAAACATCAAAGTGTGTGTGGAGGGCAGAGACAGCTGGCAGAGCCTGATTGGCTTCATGCCTCGGCATGGTGCCACACTGCTGTGTTTGCATCCTAAACAGAAAATATTCAGAGATTATTTTTGTATGTGTGTGCACATGCTAATATGTTAATATTTAATGGGTATACTTTCACAGGCTGATCATACAAAGAATTTGTACTTTTGTATTTAGTATGGAAGTTACATGTAATTTTCTGTATTTTGTGGGGGATTTTTTAGAATAAATAAAACAAATATCAACTGAACATATCAGTGATTTACCCTAACCTTAACCTGTACTGTACTGTGTGTCTCAGTTATAAGTATTATCCTTAATCTGTTCTCAATACAAACAGCTCTCTATCTTTATATCAAGAGCCTGCAACATCTATCCTTTGTCATTCCTCCTGAACCTGGGACGCACAACCAAGATACCTTGCAACTTCCAGCACTTCATGATGTTTGCAGGTAATGTTCTTAAGCTCATAATAGCATTATTTATTGTGACTTATTTTCAGTGATGATATCGCTTCAAGAAACTCAAAATCTTACCATCATTTATCCTATGAAAACTCTAATTATTCTTTTCTCTTCACTGCCTGCAGCTGAGGGCATTCATGAGGATGCTAAGAGAATGTGTCCCCTGTGGAAGAATTGTGTGTGTGTATGTGTGTGTGTGCATAAAGTCAGAT